TCTCTACTAAAAATAGAAAGAAATTAGCTGGACAACTAAAAATATATAGAAAAAATTAGCCGGGCATTGTGGCACATGCCTGTAGTCCCAGCTACTCGGGAGGCTGAGGCAGGAGGATTGCTTGAACCTAGGAGTTTGCGGTTGCTGTGAGCTAGGCTGACACCATGGCACTCTAGCCCAGGCAACAGAGTGAGACTCTGTCTCAAAAAAAAAATATATATATATATATGTGTGTGTGTGTGTGTGTGTGTGTGTGTGTGTGTGTGTGTGTAAAAATACACAAATGCTGATGATATAAACAATAATTTTTGAGGAAGAGATCACAGGAAAGAAGGAGCACTGGTTCCTTTTGGAACCTGAGACGACAGGTATGCTTCACTTTGCATTTTCTGCCTTTGTCCTGTTGGGATTTTCTAACCACTCACATGTATTACCTTTTTCTCTCTCTTTTTTTTTTATATCAACAAAGGTTATCTAAATGGTGAAAGTATGAGGCTCTTTTCACTTCTTTTCTTCCTATACTTCTCCTATTTAATTTTGAAAAAAAAAATCCCTGCTGAATATTTCGCTGGTTTACCAATTTCAATGTCTTTTGATATATTTCTTCTTCATTCTCAGTGTAATAGGAAGTAATAAGGTGAGAGTGAGGATGGGGTAGGAGGCATTGGAGATTTAAAGAGAAAGGGGGCATATAAATAGTCATCTATGTGAGCATGGAGGTCTACCAACTAGGAAAATAAACTAGGTGTAAGTCTACAGAGTGAGCAGTCATGTACTCTAAGTGAGACCTATTTCTTTCACTATGTTTTTCTCAAGCCATACTTACACACTAAAAGCAGAGGCATGGTAGGTAGAGACTTGAATTTTACCAGCATTAGGATTTGCCAGAGGAAGACAATGAAGGGAGAGAGAGGAGAGGGAGTCTGGGTCTACACCAGGCGGCAACTGCAGCTGGACCAGGCACTCTACGTGGAGTAGACAGAAAGTGGAGAAGCTGGGCCTGGGAGGGCAGGACGGTAGGCAGGAACTGGGAAGAACAATTTAAGTCTCAGAGGAGCTGGAGGGCTGTGGGAGTTGGGGCAGAGATCTGAAAATGAGGGATGGTGGCCAGACAAGGCAATGCTAACAATGAAATCAAGAGTCTGGCCACGGGGGCAGGCGGCTGGGGGGCAGACAAGACAAGCTCGTGGGGAGAGAGGCAGCTGAGGAGCTGAGAGGGAGATCGAATTCTCCAGAAATGACGGCAGGAGCAGCAAGGAGAGGCTCACAGTGAGCCCAGTGCTGAAAACAAGTTGAGAAATGAGGAGCAACAACCCAGAAATCTGCAGGTGACCACAACACGGGGACTAGTGCGGGGCATCTTGAGACAGCACGAGCTTCAAAGCTGGGAGTTCCAGCAGGGGAGGAAAAAGAATGGACGCCCTCCCCACGGGTAGGCCCACTGGCTGGAGGGGCATGGGGCAGAAAACAGCCCCAACTAGAGGGCAGGAAGGACAGCAGGTGGCCAGTGCTCTCCGGTATCATTCAGTACTCCCGCAGAGAAGCTAAAACGAGCTCCTGCAGCAAACTGAGGATATGAATCCATGGTCTGTTCAACGGGGAAAAATCTCATAACAAGAACATCTATGTGGCAAAAAATAAGTACACAGTATCTTATTTTTAAAAATACAAGAGTGCGCTATCTCTGCTTCATGTATGACTTCATGTATGACTGAAGCCTAAAGCAGTAAAATCTCTCCCCTATAATAAAAATCTGCAGAGAGCAAGAAGTATGTCTGCTCTGTTATTTTTTTGTAGCAAACTATAACCACCACAAAGCCATCATTCTTTTATAAACTAATGGGGCCAGAACTTAAATACAGCAAAGTCTTCTTCCTCAGCTCATTAATCAAGAGCACTTTCAAAAGGACACGAGAAATACAGTGAGCATTAGGTTAATACACGTGAGTTCCCTAACGTATTTCCTTAATGTCATTACTGTCTGTTTCCCAGCCCCATTCAGTGGAGCCCAATTCTTCTGAAATACCAAAAGAAACATGGTATTCACCACAGAATTTCCCTACAGCACGTCCTTGACTTGACTGCCAAAACCTGGAGAGGGAGCCAGGTGTGACGATGACAGGCTGCTCCTGTGAATAAGGAGTGACAACAGCCATTATCAGCTGGGTTGTCCTCTTTTGCCAGGAGCCTTTCAAAGCTTGATAATGGTTCAAAAGTTCTCTGCTGAACTGTTTCCAAACACTAGTTTCTTTAAAATATAACAAGGCTAAAACTTCAGTTTACTTGGGGGGAAAAAAAGGTTTACAAAAAAATTGATTCCTAACTCATGCCTCCATATATAAGTAATATCCTGAATTTTTCTACCAAAAACAAAAATGTGCATAGGTCAAACAGGCCAGTGGAAAGCACAATTCCAATGCCCTCTCCAGCCGGCTCCTTTAAGACCCTTTAACGAGCAGAGATCAGACCAACCCTGGTCCACCATTTCCACGCTCACCCCAAGGCAGGCCAGCCCCTAGAGATTTGCTCTAGCAGAGGCCCAAGAAGTTCTTGGCAGCAACTTGTCACTCCCGGACATAGCTACTAAAGGGAACTAAGTTTGAATGCCTCAAATTAAGGCATATTTTCTGAAATATAGAAGGATAGGTATCTCCCATAATACAGGAACTACTCTACCAGATATATTTTGAAAAATAATGAAAATAATATTTATCTCCAGATGGACCAATACATCTTTCAAAACACAATGCTCACCAAAAACCACTCCTATTTGGGCAACAGATGAAAATCTATCTCTTAAAAAAATAAATAAACACAATGCTAAGCATGGGTAAATATGAATGGACTACTTCTTCAGGTCACGAGAACCGAAGCAACGCTATACTCTAGTTTCACACAATCGCTCTGCAGACGGAGCTACAGAACATTTGTAACTATGCTGCCCTGCCCCTTCCTCACCAAAAAAGAGACCCTGAAATAAATTTAGAAAACCTTTGCTTTAAAGCAGAAAACTTAAGAGACTTTAATATGCTAATCTGCACCGTAAGTTTCTAAGGCGCTGTGTAGGATGTTGGATGAGTTGATCATGCCTCATGGCGTCAGCGGGGCACTGGAAGTTGAATAAAATTTTTGGAATCCTCTGGAAATACTATGAACTGACTCATAGAAGCAACATCCAACTCCCAATAATTCATAATAATGCGTACAAGAACAGCAGAGATAACTAAATCCAGACCCTGAATTTTATTTGGTAATTCTCTCCCTTTGCTAGCATTTTATCAGTGCCATCAACACTGAGTATAAGGAAAGGTGAACACACAACTCAGGCCAACAAACAAATACAATAAGAAAAATAATGAAAGAATTCCGGCACTAACCACGATTTAAACTAGGAAAATAGCCTGAACACAGCAAAAAGACCTCCATTTTATTTGTCAAAGTCTCTCTACTTGGGTGAGATTATCAATGAAAAAAATGCTAAAGATATTTGCAATGTCATAAAGATCTTTAAACCAGGCAAGTTATTTTCCATTCTCTAAAAGTACCTACACTGAGGAGACCCTGCAGAACATCCAACACTTGCAAAGAGTACTCCTGTTCCCGGGCCTTTCCTCAGTGTGGCCTCCTCCCTTCTCTGAACACAGTCTTGCAAGGAGCAGGTGAGTTCTCCCTAACAGAGAGATATAACTCCTGAAAGTCCATGAAGACTTTTATGTTGGAGACACTTGGTAGTTTCTTGAAAACCTAAAGCATTCCCAGTTAATGTAGGCAGGAAAAAGTACTACGCACAAAAAGAAATTAATAAGAGAAAGAACACAGGACAATTATACCTATTCCAAACACTCACTGTGCCACAATATTCCAAGGTGGGCTACCAGGGCAAAATTACCATTTTTAGGCATGATATGTCAGTGCAATGGGATTATAAAAATAGAATTATAGTCATGTTAAAATGATGCCAATATTGTACTTAAAATCGATAAAAAGTAAACTAAAGATGATCATTGATGAAAATTCTAATATTTTCCAAATTCACAAATGTGCTACGAAAATTATCTATTTTTCCAGAATTCAGACAGTAGAATGATAAAGCTTTGAAAGTGAGCACAAAAAAGGACTCCCCTACTGCATTACACAAACACACGGCTTCCCGTCAATGACCTCCACTCAATATTTGTATTTACTTAAAATCATCACACTGCACCCTATGATGAACCTTCTAGGAAAACACAATCTCACTTGTGGGTGGAACAAACTAACAATAAAATTGAGAGGTCTACTTCATTTCAACTAGATACCTCTATGGCATTTTGAAAATCTCAGTTCAGTTTATTATTAATATCAAAGTGAGACTCGAGACGCTACGTGACAAATGTCTTAGCTTTCCCTTTGTACAGCTCATGTTATCCACGATACATACTGTAACTTCTACAGGCAACGGGAAAAGGAAACATAATTCATGAACCACAATCTAAACAAAAAGACAATTTTTGTGAACAACAACTGAAGTCAAAGATAGTACAATGATTTGTTTTTCATTTCTATTCATACCTGCATCATCCCGATTAAAGAAAAGGCTAAACTGAGCTTAATGTAGAGAAATGCCATCATAGAAAGAGGCACTGCACATGACAGGACAATGTAATCCAAAGTAAATAATGATGATAATACATTCCTAACATTCCACTTGCACCAGTTTTAGTATTCTAACTTTTTTCATGACGTTTAATACCAAAATCTATGAAAGCGTGTCTATGGACTTATTTACCCTATTTGGGTTGTCTCTGAACAAAATACATTATCAGGAGAGAATGTGTTTTTTTTCCTCCAAATGTCAAATTTTATTACAGTCAACAGATAAAAATATAAAAAGGTCACTTCCCTAGAGACAAATAAATACCACTAGGACTTTTAAATTACCTCATTCTGACATCAAATTCCACAAACAGCAGAGACTGCCGCATTTTTATTAGAAACAAGAAAAATTTAGTGTTACTCACAAGAATAGTCCCATAACTGAAAAGGAACTCCTCTGTTACAACTTGAGGTCGAAACACCTGCATGATGAGAGTTTCTATAGATTAAATACTGAAGGCCATGTACAATTTTAGTTCAAGAGAAAGAATTAAAACGTTTTGTCTGAGTTGACGTCTCTTGGCTCCAGTTGTCAAAGAAGGGAGCCATGTTTACATCCTTTTGCCCCTAATACGACAGTACCTGTGAAGTGACGAGGTGAAGCACTATTGGCATAAGAGGGAGACACATCTTCAGTTGCTTCACTTGAACTGTCGACGGGTGTTTGCGGCCAGAAACGTTAGCCAAGGAGTTAAGAATGTCACCTGAGAAGCACAGCACAAAGAACGCACAGAGGTCAAAATCCACAAGTACTCAGGGTACCACCAGTCACTCAGTCACTGCTTGAATACTAAAATGGGACTTCTAAGGTAATGAACCTCCAAATAAAATAAGTGGGCAGAAGCTTTGTGACTTTATTCACAAGTTTTGACATTGCAACAGACACTTGTGGCTTCTGGGGGCAGAATATGATATTCTGCATATACACCATCAGTGATTTCAACCTCTCATCTAGAAATTAAATATAAAATTTATAAATGATTATGATAGAGTAGTGGTTTTAGAAATTTTTTCATAGTTTCCAAATTTCAACCTTGGACACTTATTACTTTTATAAACAGGAAAATTTGCTTAAAAATTGCAAGTGAACAAATTATAGATTGCAATTTTTAAAAAATAGACTAGGATGGAATTAAAAAGAGATCAACTTCCCAAACTTTTCATTAGATGATAAATCCAATAACAAATAAAACTTGCTTTGTGGACACTAGAATCTTATCATCATATCCTAAAACAAGGTAAGTCTGGTAACGAGAAATTCAGCTACCAATTGACCAGATCATAGCCTTCAGGTTGGAGATAAAAAAAAAGGTTACAACCCAGCTGGGTGTAGTGTCTCACGCCTGTAATCCTAGCACATTGGAAGACTAAGGCAGAAGGACTGCTTGAGCCCAGGAGTTGAAGACCAGCCTAAACAACATAGCAAGACCCTGTCACTACAAAAAATAGAAAAATTAACTGGGAATGGTGGTGGCACGCGCCTGTAGTCCCAACTACTTGGGAGGCTGAGGATCACTTGATCCTGGGAGTTTGAGGTTACAGTCAGTCAGCTATAATGACACCACTGCACTCTAGCCTGGGCAACAGAGTGAGAACCTGTTTCAAGAAAATAAAAAAAATAAAAATTACAATTAAAAATATATATTTTTTAAAAAAACATGGAGAATAGTGATAACCAAAATAAATTTTGATATGCTCTACTTTTAGTCATTAACAGGTAAAAATAATCTCCTAAAGTATAGTAAAGAGTAAAAAATAACTGTCAGTCAGCCATGAGGATATTTTCATTACTTTAATACTCTGAACTTCTGAGTTTAAGTATACATTACTATAATAGCTTGGATCACATTTAACATTCTAGACATTTCTGGTTTATAGCTACATCTGCTGGAAAAGCATGGAATGGGATTTAAGCTACATTTATGTGCTCCTTAGAGTATTTTAATTTCTGCAAATAAATTTCTTTAGCTATAATAAAATCCTTTGCCAATAATTACTAGAATATGTTATCTTAAAGATAATTTTTCAAACAAAAGAAAATTTCAACTTTTAAACCAGTATCAAAATTCTTTAACATTAAACTCTAACATTTTACTTTTTTAAATGAAAATCTATGCATTTTAAAGCTTTTTAACAATAAATAAATCTGTGGCTCTAACTTGAAGGGAAATATAGTTCTTCAGATTTGGGCAGAAAGAAAAGTTCCCAAAATAATAGTGTTAACTCCGACTTTAAGCAATCAGAAAACTTTCCTTTTCTTTATTTTCTAAAATTGCCAGTTTACCTCAGATAATACTTCAGTGTAACTGTTAGCCTGCTCATTGGCTCAGTCATGTCACTACTGCAAAATAATTATAAAAACAGGTAAGACAAATGTAAATTTTGAAACTACATATTCATGAAAAAGTGTCTTTGCACTCGCCTTCAAGAACGGACAAGTAAGAATTTAAAAAGAGGTGACGCCTAAAAGCCAAGTCACAGAAAGGTTAGCCAGAAACAGGGCCTGAGGATGTGACGCCAATTTACCCAGGATTCGTGGCAGTTCCTGCACGATGTGACGGATGAGAAGATCCAGGCATTTGGACAGGTATTCATTGCCACTTTGCTGCTCCTTGCCTGGAGTGGTCTTTCTGCTGTCTCTCTCGATGTACATCACCAGTCTACACACGGCAAAGTGCAAAGATTACCTCATGTGATAAAACAGTTGATAGCATCTGTCCGAAACTGCTGCCAAGGCACGTGTTTCCAGAGGGCACAGCCCCAATCACGTTGGCATTTAGATTTGTAGCAGCTTGTCAGGCACAGTCAATTTTCGCGGTAGAAAACTCAAAACGTTTATGCGGAAGGAAAATAAGGCAACTTTGAATCTCTCCACCGATGTACTACAAAATAATGCCCTGATTTCATCGCCCTTTGGCCAGTGGAAAGTAACCACATTCTCCAGATGATAAATGAAAGACAAACAAAGATGTCTGGACACAAGAGGGCTCTCGGTGTTTCAAAGATTCAAAGTAAGAACCACAAATGGACTGCATTTTTGTTGATATTAAATTTGCTTGGGACCCCAGGCAATTCACACAAACTCAAATTCTTTCAGTAAAGAATGTGTGCATAACTCCAAAGAAAAGGTTTCATTTTAACACTGGTTATGTATACAGACACTATCTAAGCACCTAGAGTTTACATGTCACTCTGTCCACTAGTTTTATAATAACTACCTTTTTAAAGATAACTTAATTCTTCTTCAAACCACTGGCATTCATTAAACATTAAATTCTGAAACAACTGTTTCCAACCCAGAACTAGGGAGCACACTGGACCATTACCTTAGATATATAGGGTGTTGTTACAAAGTTTTGGGCTTTCTCTGTATTTTCTCCCCTTTGCTGGGCCCACTAGTCATTTTCCCAAATTCCCATTCCACTCAACTCCCTAAAAGGCAACAAAGTCCACTGATTTCATCATGCAAAAGCCCCTTGATCACCATCATTCATCTCTCCATGTCTGTTCCCAACCATCCCACCCAACTTTTACTTCTCAGAAAGAACTTCCCAATCAATTCCCATTGTAAACTGGAGAGAGAGAGTTTTGTACATAATACACACATACATATGATATAAAATACAGTGACATCTTGACACTTAGCATTTGTATGTCTCTCTCAATAGATTTATTTACACATTTGCCTTTCTGTTTATTACCATCTGGAGCCTTATTAGTGAATACATAAGGATAAACCCAAATCAGGAAGTTAGCCTTGATTCCTTATCAATCAGCTAGCATCCTCTGTTCTAGTCACTGATGATGGCCCTAGCCACACTCTAACAAATATATGACACTAGTTAGAATAAAAAGAGAATATTGATGGATCAGCATAAATGTATCAATACTACTTGAAAGTAACTCACAGCACGAAACTTTCTGATAATAAGTAAACCACTAAAAAGTAACACTCCCTCTATTTCATGATAAATGGACTCCAAAAACAGCAGCCATGTAAGTCATGATGAACTGAATGGGGCTGACATGGAGATTCCAGGGACCTACAACATAACACACTATCACTATTGCCTGGAGCTTCCAAGAGAGTGGCAGTGATTCCAAGAGCCTTTTAATTAGTTGGCACCTGTTCCATCAGCCCAACTAAGGAGAGAGACCAGAAAAGACTAGAGACAATGGGAACTCATCTTCTCTTTCTGCTTCCCAAGATGGGTTGCCTGACATATTCCTACCTAGCCTCACCATGTGAAGGACAGCTTTTTCAAAATTAAAAATGATGGCACTTCACTGCACCCACTCCAAGATAAGTATTTCAAACACCTCCTCTGACCACACCTGCTCTTATTCCAGTACTTCCACTATGACAGTTCCTCAGCTTCCTGAGAACTTACACTAATTGAATCCATGACATTTCCTCCCAATCCATCAGCCCTTTCTTTTTTTCCCCCCCGCTTTCCTCCCTACTGAATTATACCAAACCAACTGTCATTTGATTACACTCTTGCTGCTCTTTCTTTTCTTTGCACCCATCTAGCCAAATGAACTCTGGATAAATCTGACAATCTACTTTATCTGACAATCTATTTTCTATACACCTGCAGAGAAGGATGCTAAAATTAGCTAAACAAGGGGCAGATACACACCACTATAAATGCAAAATAGCATTGAATGGCCCAGAACAGTACCAGCAATCCAACTACACTTCCTTCTCAACTTATTCCCACAGTCAATTTCCTAACTGTCTTCTCTTCAAGCACCTAACTTTCCATCCTCTCATGAGACTCTCAGCAAGTGACTATGCCTCCTATTGTACACAAAAAAATAGAAAGCATCTTAGAGAAATCCCTCTTCTCAATCCCCATTCATATCTGCGGTGCATCCCATTCTAGCGACATTTCCTCCTATTATAACAATGGATCTATCCCCCCTTCCATCTGTGCTTTGGATCTCATTCCCTTCTACCTTTCTCAGAACCCTAAAACTGCCAATAACTCATTCTCCTTTCATATGTTCATTCTCTCCCATTTAACACAACTCTTCTAGCAACTGCCCTATTGTCTCTCTGCTCCTCTTCTCAGTTAAATCTCTTAAAAATAAATCTAAACATACCGTCTCCACTGTTCAACCTGTTCAACCTGCTTGTTCCTCAGTCCAGCATTCAGTCCTATCACTATGTCCAAGGTCACTGCCTAGCTCCATGACTTCAAATCCAATGGGCATGTGCCTGCCTTCACCTACCTTGACAAGTCAGCAACATTCAAAACTATTGCCACTCCTGTTCTTCTATCGTAACATCATACTTTCCTAGTTTTCTTCTCCAGTTTACCTGGCTGTCACTTCTCTATCTTGTGCTGATTCATGCTCCTAAATCCAGACACTGTGTTTACCAAGACATAGTTCTCGGCCCACTACTCTTTCCATCTATTTGACCCAGGCCATCTCAGCCTTAGCAATGATTTAAACTACCATCTATTTACACAGATGTCTTCCAATTACATATGTGAAGCCCAAACACAGTCTCTAAGCTATAAACCAATCTATTCAACTGCTGACTTGCCATCTGCTTTTGTCTGTCTCAAAGGCACTTCAACTCTATGTATCCAAAATAAACATCATCATCGCGCCAAACTTGGTTGTCTTCCAGAGTACAAACCAGAAATTTAAGAGAGTCATTCTTTTTTTTTTTTTTTTGAGACAGAGTCTCACTTTGTTGCCTAGGCTAGGATGAGTGCCGTGGCGTCAGCCTAGCTCATAGCAACCTCAAACTCCTGGGCTCAAGCGATCCTTCTGCCTCAGCCTCCCAAAAAGAGGCATTCTTAACACCTCCCTTTCTCTCATTTCCTATATCAAGTCAATCATTCAATATTCCTCAAACCCTTACACTTCTCCACTCCCACCAAGTGAAAGCTACCATATTCCCTTCTCCAGGACTATTACAATAGCCTCTGAGCCTATCTGCTTCTACTCTGTCATTCTAATCCTTGTACACCCTACATCTAAACTAATCTTGTCCATCAAGTCACTCCCCTATTTAAAACCCTTCAGTGGTATCTCCATTGTACTTAATACGGCAGTTCTTAAAACTCCCTATCATAACCTACAAGGCCTGACCCCCCAACTATCTCTCCAACTTCGTCTTGCTTTCTCTCCTTCCAGTCACACCATCCTTCTTTCAGTCCCTTAAAGGTAGTACCTCCCCCAGCAACAAGCTACTGCCTCTGTCTGGATGGCTCTCCTCTCCTTGCCAATAAATTCATATACATAATTCAGAATTCACCATAGTTTCCATGGACTTCCTTAAATTAAATCCCTCTATGGTACTGTCTCATAGCATGGCATACATTAAAGCCTTACCCAATTTTATAATACATTTTTATAATACATTTTTGATTGTTTGATAATGTTTGTCATCACAGTAAACTTAAAATTACCTAAAGGCAAGGACTACATCTGATTTTGTTCACCACATCCTTCCACTTCTGGGCACAGTTCCTGACATGAATTAAGTATTCAATAAATATTAGCTGAATGGGTAAATATTGCTGTTGAAACTAGTTAATTAAAGCAATTCCTTGGTTCTTATTATTCCCAAGGCCCTTCTCTTAATTCTACTGTTTGATGTGTGCTTGCTTGAAATTTATACTGCTAGATTATATAAGTAGTAAAAAGAACGAACGCTTAGAAAAAAATACCAGGAGCAAAATCAAAAGACAAATGGGAAAAATATTTCCAGTCCATATCACAAAAGGTTAATATTACATATGTACACACATATGCACACACATACACCTATCAGATAATGATTAAAAACAGACTAAACAAGAGAAAAAAATGAGCAAGAGATAGGAAAAAGCATAACACACAAAAGAAAATATAAATGGCTCAAGCAAAAAGATGTTCCACTTTGCTCATAATAAACGAAATATACATTAAAATGACATCTTTTTTACCCTTCACATGGCCAAAACTCAAAAAGTTTGATAACAAATACTGCCCAGAAACCCTGAGGATACTAATACTCTAGTACACTGCTGTTGAAAATGTAAGCTGGTACAAATCCATAAAGAGTAAGCTGGCAATTTCTTGAAAATTAAAAATCTAGTAATTCTACCTCTAGAAAGAAATTATTCTATAGATATACTTGTATACATATGACATATATTCATAGTCTGCTATTTATAACAAAAAAATTGGAGTTGGGAGTCTACCAAAAGCTGACTAGTTAAATAAAATATGGTACATCACTAGAATGCAGCTATCAAAAAAAGCAGCTCTTTATACACTTTATGAAAAAAACTATAAGATTTGTTAAGCACAAAAAGCAACATTCAAAACAGGATACTTTTTATTTAAAAAGAGAAGAAAATAATCTATGTCCATACTTGCTTGGATAAAAAATCCAGAGGGACACATATGTAACTAATAATGTTGCTTAATTGTACATGATGGTATTCTGGAGCAATGAGGCATAGGTGAGAAATTTATCACTTTTTGAATTTTTTTGTTTTTTGAACCATGAGTATGCATTACCTACTCAAAACTTTAATGTAAATGTTTTTAACACAGTAAGTAATATTGTTGTCTCACAAAGTCCCCTTTGTTTTACTTTCTTTGGGGTGATTCAGTGGCCAGTTACACAAGATACCCTACCAAATAATAA